CAGTCCAAAGTGTGGTAGGAAGAGTTTTCAGAGAGTGCCTGGGGAGGTGACATGGTGGCAACTCAAAAAAAAAACCCATTGAATTTTGAAAGCATTGTGGATAATTGTGAAATCCTCTGCTGAATGTGGAGAAATCCCAAATGTAGTATTTTAATTTTTCTATCACTTTTCAGTTAGAGCATCTGGATATAATATAGCTGAAGGTGTTTTCAGTTCCCCAAGTATGGTGTTGTTTCAGCTTGCGTTTTCATTTGAGGGAGAGGTAGGGATTGTCTTGGAATTGTGTGATCAATAGCACAGTCTTGACACAGCCGAAGTAAAATCTCACTGTTACGAGAAATAAACTAGTCCTCTCCTTGGTATAAGGACTGTAGAAGAAATGTCAACTGACATGTTTTCTAGATGTTGTGTTACCAACTTTGATGTTTCTCTTCTTCCAGCTACACTTCATGAGCTTACTTTGTATAAACAAATCCAAAACCTGTGAGTTAATTTTCTTAGACTGAGAGTTTTGGTGAGGATAGTGAACCAAAGGGAGCTCAAGACATTACCTATATCACTGGTGATAAAAAGACGCTGAAGAAAGTGAATGGGGAAGGTGTGCAGCTGATAAACTGCTTGGCTAGGTAATTTTTCCAAGACCCTTGGCACCGAGTTGGACCAGGCAAGCTGATGAAGGGCTGGAAGCACTTTCCTTGCCTCAGGCTTTAGACCCATATAGTGTAACTTGATTGTGTGCTGCTCACATTTCTTCTAGGAGCAAAATGAGGTATGTCATTCCTTGCATGAGCTGCTCACTGGCCATGAGGATTGTGTCTTCTTCTCAAAGAGAAAAAAGCTTCTAATAACACTGTGATCGTAAGTCTAAGGTATAGAGGAAAGGAAAAGGAAAAAAGTCAGATGATGTGCCATCTCCTTACAGATTAGCCTTCCTTCTCTCATGACCTTTCCACTGATTTATTTTTGCAGTAGACCTCTGATAATAATTTTATCTCATTGTTATCATTTGCTTAGTGGCAGTAGTATTAAATTGCTAGATTTGTAATGCCCTACAGCAGTTTGAATGTTTGGTCTCTTCCTGAAATGTAACCTGTCCTTGAAGTTGTTGTGATCTTTTTTAAAATTTTCTTTAATATATTTTTTTAGATTTGAAATGTTAGCATCTTGGTACACCACTTCTGAAATTTTT